TATATATATATATATATACATTTATTTAGAGCGGAAAGACCACGATAGCTAAATTTTCTAGCAGATGCTACGGAAATTCCGTATGACTATCGTCCAACTCAAGGTGTTCGAATTCTAGAATTTGAAATAAATGATATGGAAGTGAATAACGAACGCATATCGAAAGACATCGAGTTGTGGGACTGCAGTGGAAATCACAAGTAGAAAATATATATATGCTTCCACACAAATGAATTTTATACGAAATATATGGCAAAAAATGTTTAACAGGTTCAAAAATTGCTGGTCAGCTGTACGTAAAGACGCACATGGCGTGATACTTGTATATAGCGCAAAAATACAGGATTCTTCGAAAAAGTTGAAAGAATTTTACGATTATTTCGTTAGTGGAGCCAAGTTGGGACCAAACAATTGTGTAATATTTTTCTTTGATCCTGATAATTCTGCATCAAGCGCGCCGAAAATTATTTGTAAGTATTCTAATAGTAATAAATCCCAAATTTTTAACTTTTAATTAAATAATATTTGTCTATTTCCCAAATAGCATAAAAAAAATCTGATATATAAATTAATCTTTATATTATTGTTTTTGTTTAAAGCATCTAGCTTTGCTAATGTTTCTCATGTCAAGTGTAATGTGGATGATAGCGGTGATAAATTAAAAGCTGATTTTCGATTGTTTCTAAGTACCCTAATGACAAAACTGCATGAAAACAAAGAAGAAAAACTAATATTGAGTGATAATATATTATTTGCTAAATAATATGTTTATTTATTTTATAGCAATTGTATAAATAATAAAAAATAGGATTCTTTTATTACCAATATCTGTCCCTGTATTATAATTATTTATATAAACAAAAATGCATTATTTATATTTTTCTCATTAATATAACAATATTCTAATTATAAATTGTATAATACAAAATAATTGAATGTTATATATGAGAACAAATTGTTTCTTGTTTCTTATTCAAATCTTTTATTAGTTCTCTCCATGCTCTTTCCACTTGTATTAACGTTTCTTCATGACTCCATGAAGTACATATAACAACATTGGCTTCCTTAACTTGTTCTGTATTACTTGGTTGCATATCAATTCGTAATTTTGCTGCTTTTTCAGATAATCCATTTCTATCCATAACTCGTTTTATAGCCTAAATATGTTTAATATAAATGAATAAAAAAATTCAGCTTATATAATTATAAATATATTCCATGCATATCTAAACATAAAATAAACAATATAGAATAATCATTACATATACATATATGTAAAATATTTATTTATAAGACAAAAAGACCTCAACCTCATTTTGTGGAATAATACAAGTCCAAATTTCACTACATTCATTCTGCCATTTAGCTTGAATTAAAATTGCTGCTTCCAATACAATAATATCATAACCCTTGGAATTAAGATTTTCTATTTCTATTTTAGCTGCTTGCAGAAGTAAAGGCCAAATTAATTTATTCAATTTTTCCAATTGTTCCTATATAAAATATATATTTTTATCAAATCATATATAATAATAATTTATATAACATTAAATATATACTTTGTCATTAAACACTATGTCACCAAGCATTTTTCTATTTATAAATCCATCGGAATTGAGAATAGAAGAACCAAAATGTTCAACTATTTTATGAAAGCAATCTTTCCCAGGCAAATATAAATCGTGTGCTAACTTATCACAATTTACAAGACCAGCGCCGAGTTGTTGCATTTTTTTAGCAACTGAAGATTTTCCACTTGCGATACCACCCGTCAAACCAATAATATAAGGTCTTATCATCCTATTTTCTCTCTAATAAAAAAAATAAATTATTAATCAATGTATATATCAAAATGCATTTATATAGAATCATACATAAAAAATCTTAAATAATAAACGTTATAATTTTTATGTATCATATAAATGCAATACTCAGTAGATGAAACCTACAGGAGGTTGAATCCTCGTGCCAAGTAAACGCATTCTATGATTGCTAGAACTAATTTTAGCCTCTTCATGTTCATTATGGCCCTCATCAATAGCTAATTCTACTGTATGGATGTCTAATTTGTTTAAATTTTTTTGTAAACGTAATTCATTGACTTTATCACCCCCACGTCTTGTTTCTTGGCTCACAACAAGCATCTCCAATGATGGATCCTCTTTAGTAGGTCCATACATATCATTGATAGGAACGATATTATATGTTATTGACGAATCTACATCTTTTAAAAACTCTTTGACTGCTTTTATTCTCTGCGTACATGGTTGTATAAGTTCCCACAGTATTTTACCTGCAAAATGTTTGTTAAATTTATTATACCACTTTATAATGATATTTATTAAATCATTTCATAATTTTTATCTAAATCATTTTAAATATTATATTGTAAATTTATAGTAAATTAATTTAAATTTATCAAAATGAATTATAAGAATTTGTTACCAGAAAGCATATTTGTATCTGTTACACCAACAGTAAGTTTTTCTGTACAACGCAGAGCAGCCTCACTTAATAAGATTTTGTGACCATTGTGCAACCTATCAAATGTGCCACCTAATACCACATTCTTGTAAGTTTTTATATTCTGAATGTCATGTTCTATATTCTTGCAATAATTTGGATCTGAACTATGATTATAATTAACAAAGCTATAGTCCAGCGATTTATTGACTAAATAATCCTGAATGAATGTATCAGCCTGTTCTTTACTGCACTTCTGATCGAAGATCACCACTTCTATAGGTTTTTTGGTGTTTATAATAGATCTATCAGAATGTTTTAAGTTGGTCAACAAAACACGAATATCAATGCAAGAGGCAATAGGAGAAGTATTTATATATATGTCAACAATTTTTTTAGAATATTCAGGGCCTTTCCCACGTTGTAACGTGGCAGTATTATAACTTCCTGCAAAAATATTTTCTGGAAGATATTGGATATACAATGTTTTTAAAACGTGCCTCTGAATTACACATAGCAATCGTTTCATTTTTGCAGGATTTGTTAAAACTAATAGGCCAGTGTTTGCCATGTCGGAGCAGATATATTAAAATTATTTCAATTTCGAGAATGATCCTCTGTAATATTTTAATTTGCGATTAATTCATTAATTCTCTTACAAATAATGTCCAGAAAATTATAATCACTTTACTTTTTTCTAAACTTGATTCTAATTTTAGGGTAGAGTTTTTGTTTATCTATCTTATCTATTTTATCTCTATTTCATCTCTCTTATCGTACGTTGTATGACATAGCGATTATTGAAATCAAATTTACCAAGTATCTTAATGAACATTATCAAACAGATAGTGACAGATTGAATCAGAGATTAGAAAACAAAAGATCTGTTCTTTATAGCTGAATTAGTGTACACTCTTTGTGCTTAAAATAAACAGATGTATGTTTAATGAAAGTGAAAAAAGATTTTAATACAGTCCAATGCAATGTTAAAAGATAAACTTAAAGATAATAAATTATCAATGAAAAGTCTGTTTTTCATATCTGAACTAGTGTACTTGTAGTATACTTGCTGTACTTAAAATGAAAAAGCTATATATATTTGGAAGTTGGCGAAAACGAGAAAGAAAAATATTTGACGAATCATAGTCGAAGAATAGGAGAATAATCGACTATGATTGGTTAATTTTTTATGGCTTAAGGCTTAAATCATCTATTGTAGATCGGGATTTAAATCTCATTGTAGAACTCATTTAAGTCTGCAAGTCAACTTGAAGCTACAAATGTTTGGAAGCACTGTTTGATTGATCATTTGATAAAATTAATAAAATTCTTTGTTTTGATTGATCAAACTCTTGGAAGCATTTGACTACACTCAAAGAACAGACCTTAAAACTCTAGTATATTAATACTAGTTTATATATAAAGAACAAATTTCTTGTTTCTACGTAAATCGTGATTTCAAATATGGTCGCCGCCTGGTCACATCACGAGAAGCATGATTATATATTATAACCTCTTTTGAATCCGATCCGATCTTCTCTTGAAATACACGATGGTGCAGAGTAGAATATTCGCGCGAAATCGAGCGCTTGGATATGTTAGCAATCATATACCTCTGGTTACGAGGTATATCCTCAGAAGAAAAGAGCATTATATCGTCACATGCGTGGGCAAGGAATTTCATACTTATGGATGTAAACACTTCACTCTACTGAGCGTCTCGGGTATGCACGCCGATGATATTACCTGCCTGGCTACGGACACATTTCACGTGTACACGGCTAGCGTGAATAATATTTACGCGTGGCGCAGAGGGACAGAATTAAAGCATACCTACGAGGGTCACGATTGCGCGATCCATATTCTATTACCGTTCGGTGCCCACTTGCTCTCTGTCGATGAAAGTAGCACTCTAAAGGTTTGGAATATCAAGGATGAAAGTCTACTGCTGGAACTGAATTTCAGTAATAATGTTTTTAAAATAACTGCGTTGATGCATCCCAATACTTATGTAAACAAGATTCTGCTGGGCAGTGAACAGGGTCAGTTGCAACTATGGAATATCAGACTGACCAAGATGATCTATACATTCAAAGGGTGGCAAAGTAGTGTGATGGCATTGGAGCAAGCACCCGCAATAGATGTGGCTGCTATAGGTTTGAATAATGGCCACATTATTTTACATAATCTTAAATATGATGAGACTGTCTTTGAACTCGTGCAAGATTGGGGTCCTGTAATATCCATCAGTTTTCGTACAGATGGTCATCCTATCATGGCGACAGGCAGTCCAGGTGGTCAGATTGTATTTTGGAATCTAGAACAGCGGATGGTAGAAAGCCAGATGTGCAATGCACATGATGCCGCTGTCACAGGTTTGAGATATATACCTAACGAGCCTCTGTTGGTTTCGTCCTCACCTGATAATTCTTTAAAGTTGTGGATATTTGATGTGGCCGATGGAGCAGGCAGACTCTTAAGGATTCGAGAAGGACATGCTGAACCACCTACAATTGCTCGATTTTATGGAAACGATGGTAATTATATATTGACTGCAGGCGGTGATTCTTCACTTCGGCTATTTTCCACTGTCACAGAGATACTTAATAAAAGCCTAGGTAAAGCTTCGTTTAACAGGAAAGCTTCTAGGAAAAAAGGTCACTCAGTCGATGATCCCCTGTTAATGCCACCAATAACTGAACTTGCGTCTGAAGTAACGCGAGAGAAAGAATGGTGCAACATTGCAGCTACTCATTCCAGTTTAGGCATGGTCACTACATGGTCATTTCATTTACAAAAAATGAGCGATCTTAAACTACTCCCTGAAAGATTTAAAAATAATTACAATGCTATTGCGACCAGCTTATGTTTAACAAGATGTGGAAATTTCGTCGTAATAGGTTACAATACAGGACATGTTGATAGGTTTAACATTCAATCGGGAATCCATAGAGCGTCATATGGAAATGAGAATGGTGCTCATGTAGGTCCCGTTAAGGGTGTCATGGTGGATGATTTGAATCAAACTCTTATTACGGCCGGTAAAGATGCAACAATCAAGTTTTGGGATTTTAAACCTAAAAAAGGTACTTGTACCGCAAGAAATTATATTTCTTGCTTCTGAGTGTATGGCATTTTAATGTAATTCTTATTTCCTAGGTATGATTACGGCAAGAACAATATTAACACTAGAAGAATCAGTTGAATGGATACGATGTCACAATGAGAGTTCTCTTGTGGCAATAGCTTTGGAAAATTTTGATATTGTATTGATGGATCTGGATACAAGAAAAATAGTTCGACATTTTCAAGGACATAAGGGACGAGTAACAGACGCATGTTTCAATCCTGATTCTAGATGGTTAATTACAGCATCTATGGATTGTACAATCCGTACTTGGGATATACCATCTTCACACTTAATAGATATCTTTCAGGTAAATTTGATCTTAAAATCGTATATATTTTGAATTTCAGTTTAAATGAAAATACAAGTTTTACAGACGTAACTCAAACTTGAAAGAATATTTCAAATTTAAAATCTTTCCAAGAAATATTTTCATAACACAATATTGGTAGTATCAAATATATTGGCAAATTTGAACAGAAAAAAAACTTGAATTTTTTGTTTGACAAACATTAAAATATTTTAAATTTTGAAAAAGATAATAAAGCATTTAAATATTATTAATAATTTTTAGGATATTTTTCTGTAAATGATATCTGGATTTTTATATTTGTACTAAGAAAAATGCATTGGAAAATATGCTAATTATATGTGTGTGTGTGTGTATATATATATATCTTATCACTTTCAGGTTCCCGAAGCTTGTATATCTTTAAGTTTTTCTCCAACGGCAGAATTTCTTGCAACCGCACACATATATAACATAGGAATCTTCTTATGGTCGAATCGTATGCTTTATTCACATATTTCGCTGAAAGCTATTAACAAAGACGACATGATACCCGAAGTAGGACTTCCCGGGTCTTTTGTAGAAACCGAAAAAGTTGACGAAGATGATGTTGCAGCCGAAGAACCAGATTACATATCTCCTGATCAACTTGACAGCGATTTAATAACTATGTCTGCTGTGGCTCAATCGAGATGGCAAAATTTACTCGACATTGATATTATTAAAAAAAGAAACAAGCCAACGCAACCACCCAAGGCCCCCGAAACTGCGCCATTCTTCTTGCCTACGATTTCCTCATTGCAATTGCGTTTTGATTTCTCGGATGTTAAAATTAACGAAAACACTGAAACTATTCGTGTTCATCCAGCCGTACAAAATCTTACTTCGTTCAACAAGAACTTACAATCAGTTACCGATGATTTTTCGGATGTGATAGAAAAATTAAAGACAATGGGTCCTAGTAGCATCGATTTTGAGATTCAATCATTATCTCTGGATGAGACTTCTACCGAATTATCGATGCTGCAGTTTATGAAAATGCTTCATCACATGATGGAACGACAGACAGATTTTGAATTATCACAAGCATATTTAGCAGTGTTCTTAAAATGGCATGGTACAGCGATATCAGAGAATGAAATATTACATAATTATTTACAAAAAATCCAAGAGATACAAATGAGAAATTGGTTTACATTACGTGAGAAATTATTTTACAATTTAAGTGTTGTACAAAGCTTAAAAAAAATGTAAAGTAGATGAAGTATTGCATTTTTATATCATGTAAATATTTAATAATTAAAATTATTAAGTAAGTAAATATAGTGTTTTATTATATATTTCCAAAATTACTTCTTTTTACAATTTACATATTATTCACTTCGAAGATTACTAATAAAATGATTCTCCAATTTTTTGGAACAGTATTTGTTTATTATCTATACATACGTACAAATCTTATAAATTATTATTGAACAACTATTAAGTAAAAATATAAATTAATATTAAGAAATATACTCGATGAAAATGAACCTATATGTTGCACCTATATGTTGTTTTGTATTTTTTACATATATCTGTATTAATAAACTTAAATATCCTAATACTTTAATGTATAGATATTTTGGGCTATATAATTTTTAATACATTTTGTTCTCACAAATATAAAGTACAATAAAATATAACATTAATATACATAGGTAATTAATGAAAAAAAAAATAATCCAATAATATATAATATAAACTTAAAATACAGTACATTTTACTAGATCCAATATCCAATAAGCTATATCCATCATGACAAAAGATAGTTTATTTACAAACTATTCTTTATAATTGAGGAAACTTTGCAGTTGTTCTATCGTTGAAGGCTCAAGAGATAAATCATTGATATAAGGCTCAAAATTTGTAACAATTCTATACAAACTACGCTTAATCGCACTTCGTAGAGATGTAAAAATTTCCTTAATCAATTTATCATCCATTAGCATTTTCCTTGCTAATACAGCTGACTTTTGCAGTTTGTCTAGCGCCTGCTTCACTGATAACAAAGCGTTGATAATCGTTGGCACATCTTTTTGTACAATACCATAAGAATCTTCGATCAGTGAAAAGACAGTTAAAGATGAAATAGCTTCGGTTGCCCAGATCATTAATTGACCATTATGTAAGACATAACGAATCTTATTATCGTCTTGTTCGCCAAAAATATAATTAATAAGTGGCTTAGAGAGCAAATATGCTATGAAAGCTTCCTTTTTCTGTTTTATATATTTTTGAATAAATGGACCACTGTAAGGAGCCATTGTATCTGCTTCCATTGGTAAGGTTGTTGCTGGTATTACATCTGGTACCAATTTCCGCATATGATAAATATATTTGCTTTGTCGAGCTGGTGGACCTTTCGTTGTCAATATGCTTGCACTGTGGCAGAATAATTTATCTTGAGATTTTATAGATATTGCATTGAGATCTGACGAGAATTTATTGAGAAGATTTGTACACTTTTGCACTACGCAATTCCAATTGTATGGATGACCACCTGGCTGGCTGAGTGTAAACAATGTACCTCTTCTCATTTTTTCCTTTTGTGCTAAGGTGACCAGATCTAAGTATGCCAAGTGCTGCATTATCGGTATCTTATCCATTGACAGACCATCAATAAGAGTCATTTCTGAACTATCAACATTGTATGCGCCACTCAAGCCAAATTTAAACTGAGTCCATTCAGTCAGATATATCTCAAATAATATATATGTGTTAGTTATTATAAATATAAATATAAACTGATGAAGCCACAGTTGTGATATCAGCGACAAATTTAGCAATCTAGATATAGTATTCAAAGGATTGCTCTCCATGTGTATAGAAACAACAGATAAGAATGCTTCATGACAATATGCCCTTATAAAATAATAAATTGTCATGTAATATAGAGTCGACCACATAGAAGAAATTATCAGTGTTGGAAACATGGAAATGATTCTTTGTCTTATTCGGAAGAACTTGTATTGTGCTATGATGGGAAACTGGAAATATTTTCTACTGGAATCACCAGTCTTGATAAAGAAATACAATCCACTCCATAAACCACTAAACAGCAAAAAGTAGTGTTCTTCTACTAGATGTGATCCATATTCGATGCTGTAGTCCGCAGTCGAAGAATTGTAGCTTCCTCTCTTCAATGACAAATGCAGCCAGACCAGAATACCACCAATGACAATGTACAACACTCGCAGAAGCAAACTTTGAAACGTGAAGGTTGTACGCAGCTTAGCGAATCTGCTTTTGTAATATGGTAGTGGATGCAGATATCTCTTGCTGCAAAAAAAACCTTGCAGGATGGTCACCATGGCAAGAACAATGAAGTAAGCCCACATTCGTGGTGACGTTATGATGTGCCACGTTTCTTCAAGCCAGCGTGCATAATCCATGCTCAGATTCGTGAACGGGACGAGGCAACAAATGAGAAATAATTGCAACGTTATGCTTGTGACAATGGCCAAGATCATTCGCTGCATTAGCAGTTCCCTGCAGCCCTTTTTATCAGTGTCGATCATTGTGATGTAGTAGAAACCGGTTAACCTCCGTCCTTATGTTTGATTCTCGAATCTCTATCGTTCGTTTCGCCAGATCCCATGCAACAATAGTATTTTAAGTTCCGATACGCGATGCAACGTTACTCATCACGGTGTCCACAGACTCCGCTAAAAATTATATTTCTTTCGTAATTATTTACCCGGTTAGCACATGTGTACAGCGCAAAGAAATTTTAAATAATTTCAAATGTCGCAACCTAGCATAACCCTGTCGTAAGCGACATTAGAGGTGCGTTCAGAACACCTGAATGCTCAAGTAAGGAGCGTCCCATTTGGCCAGTTGTAATTGGACATCTTGGGATCGATCATGTAACTTTTTCCTTAGGGCGGAAACGTGAAAAGTTTCACGTGAACTTACGATCATGTACAATTTTGCGGGATCATGTAACTCTCTCAAAAAAGTAAAAATATGAAATTTTTTTACGTGAACTTTTTCGCCATATACCTCGGTGGCGGAAAGGCGGAAATTTAGGGAATTAATAAATATGCTTCAGAATTAGAGAAGATTAGGGCTGTGTCTCTTGCTGCGCTAACTTTGTAAATAACTGTCATTGTATTGATTTCATAGAGGATCGTTTTGACAATTGTGTATCAAAAAGTTAAAAATATTATGATGTAACAGTAGTATAATAGTATTAATTTTTGCTCTTGTGTTGAAAAAGATAAATAGTGAAAAAAAAAATTTTAAATCGTTAAAATTAAAGGATATATATTAATAAATTGGTAATATAATTATGTAAAATAAAGTTTTATAAATATATACATTTTATTATCTTTAAAACATTTATGTTTTTAAATTATAATATTATAATTTAAGATTAATGTAATTAATGTATTTGAAAATAAGTGGGAATAGCTGAAAGATGGCGGACCAATCAAAAGTTGCTTTTTCGTGGCCAGTCTGATTATAGTGTCTCTAAAGTTACAGCTAAATCGCGGATATGTCCGCTCTCAGGCTTCTCTTTGCTTCTAAACAGAAATGCATGTTCGATGATCATGCGAATAAGACTTGACTACCCGCCTGGTTGACCAGTGGTGAATGGGTGGAAATTAGGTGTGAATAACCTCAATTGTGCGGAATAACTTTTTTGTCGATACCATTGAGAAAATTTCAATAATTTAAACGTGATAATGCAAAGTATCATTCACAGAATACTTTTCGAAGTTTTCTGTAGAAGTTAAAATAGAATCTTGAAAAAAGAGGAGATGCATCCGTAAATAAAAAAGACGAGAAAAGGAAACGTCAAGTTTCACAACTGTTTGAAGCATAAGCTGATGCTTCTTTTATTAGAATAATTCTTGAGCAATTTTAATATTTATGTTCTCCAGGTAGCAAATGCACGCTCGATATTTAGAGTAATAATCTAATTGTGACGCAGAAGATAGAATGGCGGAAAATAATGCAATATTCAAATCGAAGGATGAGGACACTGAGAACAGCGGCATGGATATCAGTCGTTATTTGAACAGTGCGCCGCCCACAATCTTCGATGAAATCGCTGCATTTCAAAAACCGAGTTTCTTTGATATACAGTCGACCTCCACGAATCAAGTTTCGGATTACGGTCTCTTGTCCGATGATGGATCGACGAACGTCTTGGACGCGGATTCCCTACGTATATCCACAACTTCATTGCTGGACGCCGCAGTGGATCGGGTTGAGCATGGCGCGTTGAACGACGCCTACAGGGATACGTGGATACCGTCAGAACATACACGGAAGATATTACGATCCATTGCAACAACCGCGACTGGCGCAAGTCATCTGGATCGTGAAAATCTTACCATGCCCGGATTGGCTGTGCAAGGTGACATGCCGGATTTAATCAAGAATACCTCAATCCATTTTCTGGGTGAGGATGAGAACATCCATCGAAATGTGCTCACAGCATCTGATGTGACGCAGGATGAACGTGGTCTAAGAAATTTGATACAGGCTGGTTGCTATCGAGCAGCGGTCAATCTATCCGGTAGACTGCTGGCTATCTATGCTCAAGGTTATGGGAAAATCAATCAGCCTAGCAAGCATACGCCCCATTCTCTGCAGCTCTGGTATACAAGACTGGCATTATTGACCAAGTTGAGGCAGATAGATGTGCTGGAGAACGAGTCAAAGCCATTTGGCAATCTGGACAAACCTGATATGTATTTTACGTTTTATCCAGAATTGTATGGTACTAGACCAGGTTCTATGGCATCATTCGCATTCAGATTACTATTGGCAGAAATTCCATCTTATTATGGGAAACCAAAACAAGCATTAGACAATTTGTATAAACTGTTGGCAACTGTTAACCAAATTATAGCCAATTTTCAAGCTGGTTTTAGTAGTGAGGGATCTCACGCAAAAGTCAGAGAATCCGATCAACAAGATGCTGTAAAATTATGGACCGCTAGGAAATCTAGAATTCTAGTCTCTATCATCAACTGCGCTATCAGCATGAGAAATTATATACTTGCGATAGAGATATTGGAAGATTTATGTAAGCTGCCCAATTGGACTGCAGAACAAATAGGTATTTTAAGATCGGCCATAGGAAGAGTGCATTTGTTTCTCGGCGACGTTACAGCAGCGGAAAAGTTTCTCATTCGTGTTAATAAGGGAGAAAAGACAACGAGCGTCAGAGAGCTGGTGGACAGCGGCTTAATGGCGGTAGCACAGAATGCTTTTCAGGAAGCTTACAACTGTTTTCAATCTGCCTCGGCGATGGATCCATCTAATGTGATGCTGATTAATAATATGGCAGTGTGTTTGTTATATACTGGTCAACTGAAAACGGCTGTATGGTTATTTGAGAGCATTATTAACAGAAATCCATTGAAAAGTCTGCAAGAACCAATCTTATTGAATATGTGCACGTCGTATGAATTGCATATGACGCACTGTAAGCAACCAAAATTGCATCTATTACGGCAGCTAAATAGATACAAGGGTGATGCGGCCGATATTCAATGTTTAAAACTAGCAATGTAATATTAGTCATGAATTGTCATTGTTAATGTTAACACATTGGGATCCGATTTCGTAATATAAATATACAAAAATAATAATAATAATAATAGAGTATTCAATGCGAGCAGTCGCGTCATCTTTTTTAAAAATTTAAATTATAAATTTTATCATTTTTAAATTTATCAATTTTTTTTTCTTAAAGACTAGGCCGAATTAAGCTGGACTTTATTCTATTTATTTTATGATTAATTTTCTTATATTTGAAAATGTGACCATTGCTGCATTTTGATTAAAAAATTTACAAATATTTTTTTAAATATAATTGCTCAAGTTGTATTTGGGATCGGATCACAAAGCGTTAAACCTCAGGGAAGATGTAAATGTGATATTAATAAGAATAAAAATATGTTTTGTTAGACACAAACTCTAAATTTTTTGCTTTTATTCTCACATTACGTTATTGATATATAATATATCATTTATCATGTTACGTTTTATCAACATTTTTGTCTTGTACTTTAGCTGACTATCTGGAAAGTATTGCGATTGTGTATCTCGAATTTCCCTCCCAGGGTCATCAATCACACAAGAAACACAACAGTGGGACATCAAAGTAAAATAGCCTTTATTACATCGTGAAACGAGGACAATTTAACGAATGTTCAACAATTGCTATAGTTTTCTCTTCATCTTACACTCTCTCCCTCGCTCTATTTCTCTCTTCTTTTTTTTTATTTGCCCTTTCGTTCGCACGTGTCGCTATACACGTGTGAGTTGCGCACATGGTTTTCCTCTTTCACCATTTTTCAGTTTTCCCGCTTTTTTATTACGTCTTTTATTAATCGAAAGAATACGAGTGCCGCAGCGCGCATTCGAAAATATATATTGTGCAATAATCCCCCCAGTAACTTTTTTGCTCTTGCGTCCGTAGTATGCGGTTGCTTCTCAATCGTTTTTTCTGCACGTTGGTCTCATGCTTCCAATTTCTTTCACTGTTTCCTCGTTTTCCTATGGTTTTATTTTTCTTATCTTTATTTTTTAAACTGGCTAATTTACTCTTTCTCTCTTTCTTTCTTTTTCGCTCTCACTTTCACTCTCTGTCTTTCTCGCTCTCTTTTATTATCGCGCGATTATATCGTAGCACATATTATTAGATTATCAAATTCCAAAACTGCATTCTCTCTCTCTCTCTC